CTATTTACCATAATTTTCCTATAGGATCCTACTTGTCCGATAAAATCAAAGTTTTGAATTTAGGCCTAAAACTTTGTCCACACCAAGGCCCCAATCAGACAAGCTTGTCTACAAAGTTTCAGAGCTCTGAGATACACTATCTCCGAGATACTAGTATGTTAGCATAAAGACTCTTCTTTATGGATATAATGTTTCATATAGATATTTTGGCAGATTCATATCTCGGAGATAGTCTATCCAAGAATTTTGAAACTTTGTAGACAAGCTTGTCTGATTGAGGCATTGGTGTGGACAAAGTTTCAGGCCTAAATTCAAAATTTGGATTTTATCGGACAAGTAGGATCCTATAGGAAAATTATGGTAAATAGTCGATATCTCAACTTGGGCCCATATTATTTTAGACTTTTTCTAGTCTATGCATCCCCTACTTGTGGGCAAAATTTCAGCTCAAAAGCTTTTTGACACCTCGGGTGGTTTCCTCGTTAGATCAAATAAATATTCTAATTATCTTCACATTTTCTAACAGAATAATTGACATGATTTTATTGTTGAGAAAAAGTAGGCATAGCACAAAATATTTGTATATTGTGAGTTCATAGTGTTTTACTTCGAGTTTTTTTATTTTTGATCGGAAGAACTGTTTGAAATGACTAATCGAATCTACATAAAGACAAGTTATTATTTTCCTGTCTCTCTTGAACTTCAATGCTCAAGAAAACAGTATAAACTAGTTTAGGAAGTTCAAACAATTAGATAAAATAGCAGAAAAAAACAAACATTACACCTTCCATCAAGTTGATGTATCTTCATAGGGCAATGTTACAAGAAATTTTAATTTGTGTAGCATTGTTTAATCTATCATTATAGGTAATTCAAGCAGTACTGTGGCTAAAAATTATAGAAACTGAAAAAAAAAACTTGATATTCAAACTCTATCTATCCCCTACTAAAATACAATTTGCATTCTTCTCTATAAAAAGTTTCTTTTATTCAGTTTTGTAGAGATTAAAATGATTATTTTTTTTTGTTTTTCTTCTTTCAATGTACATTCAAAAAACAATTTCATCATTCGTTTTTTTGATGAAATAAATATATATATATATATTGAAAGATTTTTTTCTACCTGTAAAAAATTTGATCGTCTTAATTCTTGTACAGTTAATTTTGTTGACCATGATCGATTACAATTATAATAAATTCGTGCAACAACTGTTTTAATATATCTTGAATGAAATTCACGTGCATCACGAAGAAATTTTAAACCAGGATGTGTATCTATTATATCTTGTATAAAATAATCCCAATCATCAATAGTTAAATAATGACGATTTATTGGTAATGTTAATGAAGATGTATGAACAAGGAAATAAATAAATTTTAATGCATTATCATGATTATTTTTACATACTCTAAAAACAAAAAGAAAAATATAGTGTAAAAGTTTCAATATAAAATATTCACTCATTTTTTGACTAGTAAAAATCAAAAAACAAAAAATTAGTTAGACTTAGATTTTGTTGCCATTTTTAATCTAAATTAGTCAAAAATATGATTTATTTATTATTCAATGATATGCATGCATGAATATTTGTGTGATTCAGTTAAGCTCTACTTCCCGATAAATTATTGTTGAAAATAAAATCGTAAAAAATATTATCGTAACAATCTTTTTCCTGTTTGTTTATGATTTTGACTCAAAAAACCAGCATTATTTCAAGAATTTCTTGACAAATACTACTTAAAATGGAAAATCCAATGTTAGAATTATATTCAGCAAATGAATTCGGTTCGGTATTAAAGTAATCGAATGATTCAAGTCTAATTATTTTCTGGGAGAGATGCATCAATTCCAATTCTTTGACTAGAACTGTTTGAATTTGGTGCATGTCTAGTTAGGAGAGTATTTTCGATGAAAAAAAAAGTTGTTGTCTAATTTTTGAAACGCACATAAATCATTAACCTAGGTTTTTATGCTGAACATGGTTATTATAATAGATTTTTCTATTTTGAATAGCATTTGCAGAGAAAATATTCAAAATAATGAATCGATAATAGCGGTTGCAAAAATGGCTTTTAAAAATTTTGCTCTACAAAATTGACCTATTTTAAACTATTACTTAATAAGTTTCAATAGAAATACAAAAACTAACCAGAATAGTACTCAATAGAACTGCTATTTTAAAATTATCTGATGATAATTATTGAATTTTATCCTCGGAGGAAATTCTAAACGCAATTTCAGAAAGATCCAAAAAATATTCTGTTTCACGCTCTAATCCATAGGCTGTATAAAGCCGAAAAATTAACAAATATTTTATGTCATAAATTATTTACTTTCTCCAAAATGTTTCAAATTGAGAATAATTAATAGTTGTATCTGGTGTTATTGTTGTTTGTGTTCCAAAAGCATCTTGTACACATGCATGAAATAATGGTGCTTTCCAATATAAAGTCAAATCGATTAACTAAAAGAACATATATATATATATATACTTAACAATGAGTATCTAATATAAATATTTCATCATAGTTTAAACTTATGATTTATTATACCTGAGCAAGTTTTCCAAAATCTTCTGAACGTAATTTATCATTTTTTGGTATAAATAATTCATCTTGAACTTTTCGTAATTGTCTAGTAAGTATTGTATCACGTGCTGATAATGATGCTTTATGTTCATCAGAAAAATAAAATCTTGGAATGATTGCAACGGGTTTATTTTTTTCTTCAACTTTAACAGTTATTGATGGTGTTTGTTGAACAATCGGAGTTGTTGTTGTTTTTGATGGTGTTAATGTTGGTCGTGTTATTTGTTCATTAGGTGATGAGGATGATATTGATGTTTTTGTTGTAGTAACAGTTGGTGAAGATAAAATATTATCGAATGGTTCTTGTAAAGAAGTAACAGTAGTATTTGTTTGTTTGAAAGATTGATCAAGTGAAACATTTGATGGTGATTGTGAAGTAGGTATTTGTTGAGATTGTTTTGATGAAATATCCTTTGATGGTGTACTTGTAGTTCTAACTGAAGATCGATTTGTAGTACTAGTTGTTGATGTTGTAGGAGAAGAGGGAGTTGTTTCAGATTTTTTTGATTGTGTAGTGGAAACTTTTGCTATAGATGCCTAATAAAAATATACGATTTGAGTAAGTAAATGATACAAAAAAGGTTTATCAATGTGATACAGTAAGGTAACAGTAAGAAAATTTTTCTTAATTATGATACGGAGTGCGGAAAACGTTAATCCTACATATCTCTAGTTGGTTAAATTATCGTTGAGTTTAAAAACTTTTTGTTGAATATATTACTCTATTTGTTTAGCGGAAGTGTTTTTTGAAAAAGAAAAATCAATAAATGTTTTGAGAGATTTTCAGTGGAATTGACACATGCGCCTATGATGCCTAGGATAGAACTAGAAAATTTGTATATATTTGAACATAGTGATTTTGCTTTTATACCTTTATGAATAGTTTTATAATACGGATCATAAGATCGAAATCTTTCACCAAAAATCTATTGTTTTGTTGAGCGTTTCGGATCGATTCATGTATTAAAATAGATCTAGATGGGCAAACAAATTATTTGATCGGATATGATGCTACAGACTGTTATACTTTTCATATGTTAAGAGAAAGCATAGAATTTCTTCATATTTATCTTTTTTTATCTTTAGTACTTCTCGCTTTATCTCAATAGAAATAAGAAAAATAAACCCAGTCATCACTTGTATTCTGTATAAGTACAAATCTACACTCTATAACCTCGATAAACAGTGAAGATGACGACTCTTTTTTCTTATGTTCTTTTACTGTATATTGCTCTGTTGAGATTTATCATCACCTAATTATACAATTAGTTATTCTTTTGTGTCTTATATAAAATATATATATATAACGGATGCCAAAAATGAAAAGAGAACATTCATAAGGAATATCCAGTTGATAATCGGTGTTTTTTAAACTCATTCTCTTTCCACCAACTATGAAACTCATCAGTTTTGACCAATCTTCTCTCTAGATTTTCACAGAATCGTTTTTTTTACTAAATTTCGACCATTTCTGACAGTCGAAATCTACTAAAAAGTTTCTATTTCTATCAACTCTCAATATGAACAGAAATCGTTTGAAAGTTAAATTATTGCAGAGATCTCTTACAGATGAAAGAAAACGGAACAAATTACTTGACAATGTTTCCTCATTAACGTTAAAACTTTTTAACAATCGTTCAGATGTTCACATATATTTGTTTACTTCTCTATTCTTTTCTCAGATATCGTTTATGGAAAATTCCAAAAGAACAAAATAAAAAATCGATATTATCATCTCTAACCAAAAAAGGTCAAGAAGAATTTACTTGTTGTTGTTCAATAATAGGCGTTGTACTACCATTCACTGTGGTAGATATTTTCTTTGACGAACTTTGTTTCTTTTCTTCATTACGACTACTTATACCTGGAGTACTTTCACCGATTGAAACATTATGTGATGGACTAATACGTGGACTTAACGGTGTTCGAGGTACAGGTGAAACAGGTGGTGACTCAAAATCTTTTGATTTTGAAAATCCACCACCACGTGTTGTAAGAGTCTAGAAAACAAAAACAAAAAAAAAAAAACTCTTATTTATTAATGAAATTTATATAAACACACACCCACACACCTTTGAATAAGCTATTGAATCTGGCATTTTACTATTTGTTCGAACACTATGTAATGCAGTAGATAGAGTTGTACGTGTATCTGGTAATGAAAGCCATTGTAAGAATAAATCATTAACCATTTTTGCAATGGGTATAGGATTATTTTCTGTTGTCATGGTACTGCTCATTGTTTTTATTTTTCTTTAATTATTAATTTAATTAAATATTAGAAATAATATGGACGGCATTTTATCTAGAAGATGAAACAAATTTTCAATTTTTTCCTTTTGTTAACGAAATAAAAAAAAGAAAGAAACGAAAAAAAAAAAAACAACAACAACATATAGATATCGAAAATATTAAAATTCATCACCATAAAATGAATTTCGTCGAAATATCCATTTATCGCAATTATTATCTGTTTTTTCAATAACAGTCATCTAAATATAAATAAAATAAAAATATTTTATTTTAAATTTAATTTTTTAATATTTACTGTTAAATAATCAACATTTCGTATAACATTTGCTAATTGAAATGGACGAAATTTTCCACCACATAATTTTCGTGTACATGTTTCTAATGATGGAGCATGTGCTAACAAAAATTATATTTTATTTT